ACCGGATAACCGAAGGTTCACCCCAAATGATTTAAAAGACCATGAGCCCCATGTCAGTGTCAGAGGACTCTACAATTAGAATTGTCATCCTACAGAACTCTTCTCAGGAACACTGTCCCCTTCCTAAATTCCAGCAAGATTATTCTGTCTCCGTGAATCCCCTTTAGCCATTCACCTAGAAGGAGTGTTCAGTTCAGTGTAGAACTAGTCATTCTTCCTATCTGAAGCAAAGTAGACTCAATGAATAGTATTCAGGAACTTTTGAGAAAAGAAGTGAGGTCAAACATTTTTATGCTTTGTTTATATTATTGTTACTATAATAGAGGGCAGTTATGATGTATAAAGAGAACCTATGGTTCAGATTTATTGTGATGTATTTTTCTCAGCAATTTGATAAAACAAACCATTAAATTCTTACCTTCCTTTGGGTTAAGACTAACAGCATGTGCATTCTCTGCCAGCCCAGCTCCTGTCTGTGGGTCCTGTTCGGGCTCAGAGGCTGGGGAGGGTAATAAGATTATAAAACTTGCCTCTTGCTTGCCAGTTACCACGTGCTGATAATAATAGTAACCATAATTCACCAGAGTCCTGGGTTTTTTAAGTTTTACTTGGTTTATTTGTTTAATTTAAAGGAATCAAAAATCTAAAGAAACAAGGTAGCATTGCAAAAAGGAAAGAATAACATGCCCCTTGAGCAGAACTGAACAGTCCTAATTAGTTTATAGCTTCTGTCCCTCAGTAGTGCTTTGCTCTTTTCTTTTCACTGGTGGTGAGGGGCTGAGCCAAGGTTATCAGGTTAGTTTAAAGCTGGGTTTCTCAACCTTGGCACTACCAAGATGTTGGGCTGGATACTTTGTCGTGTGGGAGACTATCCTGCACATTGTGGGAAGATGTCACCTGGCCTTTGCCACAGGATACCAGGAGCACTCCCTTCCCTCGAGTTGTGACAATCCAAATTATATTGTTGATGTTGTGTGCAGTACAAATATGAAATCCAACCATTATATTCAACTGTAGTGCACCAAGAGGAAACATGGGGCAGGGGAGCGACAAAATGTCTCCATACAGTCAGAAGTTCCCCAGGGACCAGGTTCTCCCCCCCTCCCCGCCATGGAGAATTACGGGTTTAAGGTAAAACAGGTTTCAAAGTCTTCATTATTTACCCATTTTGTCTAAACCAAAAGTAGCAGAATTGTGATTTTTTTTTTCAGTTAGAAGGGAGCAGATAGCAATTTAAAGTTTTAAATAGTATTATACTGTACCTTTACTGTACCTTTTCCTGAGCTTTCTGGGTGAATTGCAGTTCAGATATAACTTTATGTTTCAGAGATATACATGCACTTAGAAACAAACAGGACCATGCTTCTTTATGTGTGGGTAGTCATGTGGGTGTTGTTTGTAGATTATTCTTTGTGTTGGATGGAGCTGAATGATTGATAACCTCAGTAAGTTCACATTTTATTGACATCAAATGGAGTCTGACCCTTTGTATCTTTTCTTCTTTTGCTGAAAGTTTTCTGTAGCTCAGTGATCTTTTGGATTTGATGGGGAAATTGAATGAATACGAAGAACTCAATTCCTAGTTTCAAATAATTCTTGTAATTTGATGCTTTCTAAAAATATAGAAAGGGAATTATGGGGATATTAGCATATGTATACGTTTGAAATTGTTTTTATTTTCCAGCAAGTTTTATTTTTTAAAAAGGAACTCTATCATTTATCTTTCTTCTCAGATAATATACATAGTGGGATTGGCACTGTCACAATTGACCTTTTGCATTTTTAAAGTAACACAAGGAATATTGTGATTTCATACTTCTCAGATGTTTAGAGATATGTTGATAATTTTAGAGTATTGCTTTTCAATCTTCATGACATTTTAGAATTAATTACTTGGGAAGCTTTGGAAAGACCCAGGGTCCAGGCCACACCCAGACCAATTAAATCATATTTTCTAGGGTTAGAACCCAGACTCTCAGTACAGGGTGAAGGAGAGCCCTTTTTGTAGTGAGACTCAAGGTTAAGAACTAGTGCACATATTTCTGAAGTTTTAATGGAACACAGCCAATTGATTTTCCAGTTGCCTAGAGGGGACTTGCAAAGCCTAAAATATTTACTATTTGATCATTTACAGCAAAAAGTTTGCTGACCCCTGATTTGGGTTTACAGTGAACATTTTTCAAACATTTTAAACAGATTAGTAGAAACTTTCACAGTAAAAGGAAAATATAGAGCATTTTGCAGGGCCTTGCAGGCTTGAGACCTTTCCTTGTATAGAGGGAAAACTGAAAAGCAGCTGGCCTGCCCTGGCACATACCTGTAATCCTCGTGACTCTAGCTGAGGCAGGAGAGACACAAATTTGAGGTCAGCCTGGGCAATTCAGCAAGACTGTCTCAAAATCAAAAGGGATGGCCTTGTAGCTCAGTGATAGAGTGCCTCTGAGTTTCATCCCCAGTACCTAAAACGCCCCCCCACACACACACACACATAAAAAACCTGAAAATTATTTTCCTTGAAGGACTGACATGCACTCAGATGAGACTAGCTCCCTATCCAGAGTGGGGATGCCATGTTATTCATACCAGGGTGTTCTGTACTCTTTTGTTAGTCCCTTGTTGCTAACTTGGTGCTCATTGCTCAGACTGCATAACTGACCTGATGGAAGTCTGGAGACAGAAGTGGCTCTTTAAGATGTGCTTGAGTTTCTTATTACCATTGCAACACTTCAGGAAGATGCAAGAGGCCTGAAAAAATTGTTGATGCTTTGGGGACTTTTACAGGTAAAAGAAAAATAATAAAAGCAAAAAACATGCCACTTGCCATAATTTTCATCCTATCCCACTTCCATTGGAAACTTGGTGGTTATAAGCAGTTTGCTAAAGAATTTTTAGAACATTGGTTCTGGGCTCCTAAGTAAGAGAGAAAGTATGGTTTTTCAAGCTCTTAGTCATCAGAGTGAATCCGCTTCTCTGGGATTGCTTGTGAGGCATTCAGGCCCTACCCAGACCTAGCACACTGACTCTGCACTTAACAGATCCTCATGCCGGTTCAGGGAGTGCTGGGGAGCACTGATCTAATTGGGAACCTAGTTTGTTTGTATAGTAAACTGCTACCATTGATTGTCCTCCCTCTTGAATGATTTCATAGCTCCCTGATGGGCCCTCCTGACCTGGGCACTCTCGTTAGGGTGGCAGGCAGTTCTTGGCCTTGGGCTATTTTCCAAGTACAGCTTGCTTTGACCTCCTATTTGGTGAAGATTTATATGACAGAAGAAAATGGAAATGGAATGATTGGCCTAGAAAAGATGCCACTGTATATATTTTGAAAAGCAAAAAGAATAAGAGTAGTTTGCTCATTGAAACTTCACTTGAAAGGAAATAACCACCTGTAATGAAGTCATTTCTGCTTCTCCAAGGGGTGAGAATCCACCCCTCAGAGCATGCATTTGAACTGGGAAGATCAAACATGAATCCTTCAATCATTTCAAAGTATCATACAGAAATCAGGAATTTGCCATCAAATAATTCCATAGTATTCAAAATGCACTCAGACCACGGTGACTTGAGAAATTATCAGAATTTAGATATTCATAGAAAATCTCCAGGAAGCCCCGAAACTAATTTTACCTGCCAGGTATGTTAAGTTAGCCTACAGTGGATTTAAAAACACAATTTTTGAAATTAGTTCTTAATTTTGATCATGATTAGTTTATCTTAGATATTTCCTTAGAAAGACTGTTATTTAAAATGGCTGTCATCTACAGGCTAGGAGTGTACACCAGTGGTAGAGTGCTTGCTTAGGATACACAAGGTCCTGGGGTTGATCCCCAGCATCTAAATAAATAAGTAAATGCAATACCATCCAAATTTAATTTTTAAAGGCAATATAAATCATCCAGCTCTGCTCTTGTCATGAAGATATGATCATGAGGTGAATGCCTAGTAGCTGTACCAGCTTCCATGCAGGAAACAATTCTAGATGTTGGCATAAGTGCCCCCTCTGCAATCATCAGAAGCACTGGAAAAACTGAAGTTGGGGCCCTGTCTATCATCAGAAGGATTTTTCCAGTCATCAGAAGGACTGGAAAAACTGAAGTTAGGTCCCATCTCCTGAGATTTGAAGGAAGAGATCAGGAAGCAATGGAGAACTGCTCTTTACATAAAAGGTACCCAGAGTCCCAAAGACAGGATCTGGTTTCCAGAAAAATGTGTGACTGCCAGGCCTGTGTGTCAGCTGCCAGCGCTCCTGGATGGGTCCCATCCCCACTCTTTTGTGGTCACTAGCAAAATCCAGATCCCTTCTGAATGCAGATCCCTTACCTTTCTCCTTTGCTACAGGGAACGGCATAGAAGGAGATGGGCATGGACGCTGACTGACAGGACCCAGCATGGCATCCCACTGGGGACAGCTTACCCCTGTGCTTGGTTTCCATGTTATTGTTTACAGTCTTCAAAAGGCGTCCTTATATGAATAGTATAAGGTAACCAAGGCCAGGTGCCATTTTTACCCAGAAGGAAACATGAAGAAGGTCAAAGCTGCTCAGTAGCCTCCCAGTAGGTGTGTTGGCTCCTGAGCATGGCTCTCCCCTCTCTACCACCCTGTTCTTTTTAGTACTTGTTAACTGAGCATCATATAACCCACATGGAATTTTCGGGGTGCTTTTGAGGGGACCCAAAGATAGGAAAGTCACCTTGAGGGTACACAGTTCTAGTTTTTTAAAAAATATTTATTTATTCATTTATCCTAATTAGGTATATATGACAGCAGAATGCATTTTGATTCATTGTACACAACTGCAGCACAACTTTTAATTTCTCTGTCTGTCTAAGATGTAGTGTCGCACCATATGTGTAGTCATAGGCACACTAGGGTAATGATGTCCGTCTCGGTCCACAATCTTTCCTGCCCCCATACCCACGCTCCTCCCCTCTTTTTTTTTTTTTTTAAATAATTGTAAAATGCAACTTTGGTCTTATTGTGTTCTTTCTTTTTTCTTAAGCAGATGAAAAACTCGGAGAATCGCCATGCAGTGAGTTCCCAGTACAGGATGCATTCTTACTATGGGCCTCCCTCCTACCTGGGCCAGAGTGTGTCCCAAATCTTCACTTTTGAGGATGGCCCTTCCTACTCGGAAGCCAAATCGAGTGGTAGGTGTCTGCTCTCAGGCTGGCTTTGTGGGTGGAGAGAGGATGTGCAGCCAACATGGGGGGTCCTAACCTCTTTGATGGCTGATATCTGTTAGGAACTGTTGGGAAGTTCCTTGTGTGTGAAGCTGAGATAACTATCCTTTAAAGTATTTAGCAATGGATTGATTTTTGCTTTGTTTGATTTTTTAATATGCTAATTTTTTCTGAGTACAACAGTAAGATGTGAAACTTCTATTCAAAAGCTAAAAATGTATTTTCTACAGGCTCGGCGTGCAACAGGGTCACTCTTGTTGGTGGTGGCAGTGCTGGGGATCAAACCCGGGGCCTTGTCCCTTCTAGGCAAGTGCTCTACCACTGAGGGTACACAGGGATACTTTAAATGTGGTTCAAGTCTCAGGATTTTTTCCTGAAGTGAATTTCTGAAAACTGAATACTTGTTTCCCAAAGATTTTCATTTTAAAATGTGAAGGTGTATTCGTCTTTTTTGGGGGAAAATAAAATAACATAATAAAACATTTTTTAATACAGTCAATCTCAGAGTTTATGCAGTAGCAATGCAAATAACTCTGATATAATGGCTTTAAAATAAAAAATGACTGTTTAATGAACCAAGGCACTTTGAAGTACACAATTCCTCAACTTCACTTTTAACCTTCTCCCCAACATTTATGCTGTGATGATAGGCAGGTCTTTTATGGCTGCTGTTTCCAGATGCTGTTTTTAAGTCCTTTATATTTATGCATCATCTTTTGATTTAGAAAATTGAGAAGCAAACACAGTCGAGGCAGTAAGTGGAAATCAGGGCCTTAGTGAGTGATTGGAAGAGACACTGATTTGTCAACGTTTACTCTATAATAAATAAAAGGAGAAGTTTGGTTTCCAAATAACTTGATTGTGGAGATCATATTTGTTTGCAGAGCAGACGTTTTGAGAATCAGAAACATGTCTTGATTTTAAAAATCAGAACAATAAAATCTTAAAAAGCTGGGCAAGTTATGCTTTATTTGCTATATTAAAATAAAATATTGGCTTCCATGCCCATCTGCCTACCTTATGTATAAATATTGAAAGTTTTGTCAAGCTAAAGATGTTAAATAATAAATAAAATATTTTTTAAATGGTGGCTTCTATTAATATAGAATTTGTAAGTGAGGGGAGCTAATTTGAACTGTAGAGACTGAAGTATACATTGCGGATTGCAGTTTCATTTTTATTAATAATCGTTCTTTGGGGAGTGGGCAAGCATACCTCTACTTCATAAACATTCATTTTGTGTGCTCTATGCTCTGTGGTCCTTCTTGCATGCTGCCTTGGATTCTGTATAAAATCTGGATCATAAGCTACTTGAAGACAGAGGACTCATCTCTTTGCCTTTTTACTTGCTATGATGTCTTGTTTGCTGCTTATTGGTTGAGCAAATGAATGAGTGGCTGACACATTTTTGAGTGAGCTTTCTCTGTAAGGAACCCAGACATAAAAAGTTCAGAAGCCTACTGCATTGCTTGTCTGATGGAGCCAGTGAGCAATTTGTGTTTGAAGCAGTTAAAGAAACATTTGTTCAGATAGAAAATTAAAACTGAAACCCACTTGTAGGAAGAAATTGCTTGAGCTTCTTACTCCAGGAATAATGGAGTATATTTAGAAGCACTGGCATTCTGGAGACAAAGGTGTAAATTCAGAGCAGGGCAGTAAGACAAAAATATAAGAGGCAATTTATTAGAGCAGAGAAGAAGGAACTTGGAGAAGAGCCGTGGGCATGGGAATTTATGGCAGAAAAAGAAGTGACCAGGAGGAAAGAGGTTACAGTCCAGGAAAGTGAGGCCAGCATAGCAGTGCTCAGAGGGGAAAACTACTGGAATTTCTTGCGGCTTTTCCAGGGACATATAGAATTGAACCCATGGGTGTGAGAAGGCCCCAGGTTTGACTGCTTGGGACCCTCTGACTCCATTGCAGTTCATCCGGAGCTTGAGCTGTGGAAATGAGTGGGTTAGCCAGGAAGAGCTGCAGTGAAATCTCAGTAAATATTTACTCTGGAATTACTATGGATAAAGAGAATATGAATTAATAGGAAATCAAGTCCCAGCTAATTTTTGAAAGAAATGTGGCTTTATAACTTCTAAAGATGTGCTGTCTTCGGGTGCAGTGCATGGCATTTGAACAGAGCAGATGGGAATGGAAAGGGAAAATTGTGTTTGGGGACAAGAATGCCCAGTAGACCATCTTTAGGGACATGGGATCCTATTTCATCTTCAGCATTGACAGAGCGGAGAGAACTTTGGGGGCAAGTTAGGCCCTTTGTTAGGTGGGGCTGAGGTGGGGAGGGATGGAGTGGGTTGCAGTGGGTGGGATGAGGGACATCATTATACTTACTCATGAGAAATTCAGGAAGGCTGGCTAATTTACCAGTGCCTTTTAGCAGTCCTACCAATGTTAATTTAAGTTCCTTTGGTTTGCTTTAACAAATAAGTTATAATTTCAAAGAAGTAAATCAATTATTTTAAGAGAAACTTCTAAATGATTTGAAGAACATTTTTTAAAATAGATAATGCTTTCTTTAAAATCCTATTTGAGTATAAATGTGTCTCTTAAATCCATGTTTCTTCAGTTTTTTTTTAAAGGTAAACGTAAGCTTAGCTTCTCTTCAGCATCTGAATAAATGAATCTGACTACAGTGTTTTCCTCTGATTTTGCTGAAATTGGTAACATGAAAATAGAACTTTAAGGGGGAAAGATTCACAGGAGAAGTTTTCCTTTTCCCTCTTCACATTTTTTTTTAAATAAACAAAGTTTGCACCATTCCCTCTCTTTTCCATATCCTGGAAAGTGCCAATGGTTGGATCAGAGAGATGTGGGCTGGGTCCTGTAGAAGCCACTGAAACTAAGTGAGATGAGAAGCAATTATAGGATTTTTAGCAGATGTTGTCATGTCCTGCTTGTGGTTTTTAGAGATGGCCCTGACTACTGTTTAAGAGTGGACCATAGGGATGCAAAGGTAGAAACAGGGAGACCAGTTAGAAGGCTGTTGCAGTCACTCTAGCAAAAGATGATCTTGGCTTAGCATGGGAGCAAGGTGATGATGACAAGTGGTTGAATTCTGGATATGTTTAGAAGACAGAACTGACAAAATTTGCAGATGAGATTGGGATACAACAGAAGGAAAGGAAGTGGAGGACGACTTCATGTTTTTGACCTGATCAAGTAGAAGATTGAAGTCTCCAAGGTAAAAGACCATGGGGGAAAAGAGGTTGGTGGGAATTAGAAGATTTTTTTTTCTGCAGTGTTGTAAATTGAACCCAGGGCCTTACACATGCTAAACAAACACTCTGCTACTCAGCTATGTTCCCAGATCCTAGGAGATTAATTTGCACATATTAGATTTGGAGTATTCATGAGGCACCCAGGTGGATTGTTAGGTGGGAGCTGGATATTGAGAGGAATATCCTGCTAGAAATGAAAATTTTGAGAATTCGACGATGCATTGATGTTAGTGTGATCCATCACCTAGAGAAACAGATGTAAATGGAAAGTAAAGAACCAAGGCTGAATCTGGAGCCCTCCTGCGTTTAGTGTTCTGATGGATGGGGAGCACCAGCAATGGAGAGGGCATTGAGGAGCACCCAATGAGGAAGCAAGAAATTGCAGGGGAGTGGTGTCTGCAAGCCAGGTGAAGACAGTGTTTCAATGAGCAGAGCCAAACAGACTGACAGGTCAAGGGAGACGAGCACTGGAATTGACTATTGGCTGTTGCCAGGTGGAAATGATGGATGACCTCACTAAGTGGTTGCTCTTGTGTGGAGGTGGGGACCAAAGCCTGATTGTATATTAGTAGTGCATGGGACAGAAGAACGGGGCAGTGAGTATAGACAGCTCTTCAGGGAGTTTCCCCATAAGGGAAGTGGTGAGATGGGCAGTCACTAGAGGGGAGAGGAGATTGATAGGCGTGTGTGTATGTGTGTGTGTGTGTTGATAAGAGTGATGCAGTTGAGGGGGAAACTTGCTGATACAGCTGATGTGTGGGGACACAATTGCTTTAGCAGTGTCCCTGAGTAGGTAAGACAGGATGGAACACAGGGCAGTGGTGGGTCTTGCTGGTGCTTTGTTAATGGTCCAAGAGAAGAGATGAGTAAAGGAATTGAAAATAAATGGAAATTTCATAGCAGTTTGATGAAGCAAGTTTATATCCAGTGAGCCTAATAAAAAACTGTGGCTTGTATTTTTTTGCCTTTCATTTTTTTTATTGAGGTAAAATACACCTAACACAGAATCATCATTAAACATTTTAAAGTACACAGTTCAGTGCCATTTGGTATATTCACAGTGTTGGGCAACTATCACTTCTGTCCAGTTACAAGTCTCTCATCTACCCTAGGAGGAGGCCTTGTACCCATGAGGCAGTTATTCTCCTTTCCTGAAGCCCCTGGGAACCACTAATCTGCTTTCTGGACAATCACTCTACCACTGAGCCACATCCCAGCCTCCTCTAAAATGCTTCCTATCTAGATTTAGCTATTCTGGATTTCATGTAAATGGAATTATCTAGTATGTGGCTTTTTTTTTTCTTTTATTTGTTCTTTTAAGATATGCATGACAGTAGAATGTATTCTGGCATATTATACATACATGGAGTATAACTTATTCTAATTAGACTCTAACTCTTATGGTTGTACATGATGCAGAGTTACCCTGGTCATGTATTCAAATACAAGAATAGGAAAGTTATGCCTGATTCATTCTGCTATCCTTCCTATTCCCTTCCTCTTTTCCTTTTTTTTCATTCCCCTTTATCTAATCCAGTGGACTTCTATTTTTCCCCTCCCCATCCTTCCTTATGGATTAGGAACTACATACCAGAGAAGTGGTATGTGGCCTTTGTGTCTGACTTCTTTCTTTAAGCCTAATGTTTTCATGGTCCATCTAAATAGATCAATACTACATTCCTTTTTATGGCTAATATTCTATGATATGGATAGATCTCATTTGTTTATTAGTTAATGGACATT